GTAGAAAAAATTATTCCTAACCAAGTAATCCTTTATTTTCCTTTACAAATACTAACACATTCTCTAATGTGACATGTCATTACATTTTAACATAATGTGTTGAACATTTTATTAAATATAATATCAAATGCTATACATATAGGTACACACACACATATATGGAGAGAGAGAGATATTCTTATTGTGTATGTTTAGTATTTCCCTGCATTAAATCCTGTAAGTCATATAGTAATATTTATTCTTGGACATTAATCTTTGTACTTGGGACTTTTTAAGGGGCATTTTTTCCTCTAACTTATTTGGTCATATGCTGTGCCAGGTCTTATGTGGATAAGTCCCCTCAACTGAATACACCTCAAGGCACTCACAGGACTCTGTCCTCAGAAGTAATCGGATTAAACCAAAGAATAGAAGAATTCCTGGCTCCTAAGTACCTAGAGTGGATGGCCACTGGGGTTCTTTTTATTATCTCTCCATTTTCTTGCTGTCTGAAAAGTGAGCTCCAGGGTGGGGTGAGAGCTGCTTTGCATTCAGGCTGGTCATCTCTGTCACAAAGGCAGTAGTGACCAACAGAAGGGAAGAGAGAGACACAGAGACAGAGACAGACAGAGACACAGAGAGCCCTAGAGGAGCAAGATGTCCTTCCATAGCCCTGAGGTCAGAGAGCCTCTGGTAGGCCTGCTTCTCTAAGTAATCAGACCATGCTACTCCCTCACATCCATCCCCTCTGTGAAGGCTGTGACATCCTTCACAGATCTCCAGGGAGAGAGCAAACCCCGCCCCTCCCCCTCTCAGCTGCAAGATAAAATGATCGCCCTACCAAGTACCTGGCTCATGCCTGTCAGGCGTTGAGTTGACTAACCCAGACTAAATGGTGTGGAGCTTCCTGCCACTCCTTGAAAGGATAAGGGAGACACAGACTTCTCTGAAGGCTTGCTCTCTCTGCTTCCTTAGGTCTCCCTATCACTTTGTACACAAAGGCTATCTCTCTTTACTCTTTACCTTAAACTGTCTTTTAACATTCTCATAAAGTTTAGAATGCTCTCCATCTCCAGGTTTTTAAAAGGAAACCTCTTTCTCACCATGTCTTCAAGGCGCCACCACATTGTCTCTGATTTGATGTGCTGTCCCATCAAATTGTTTTCCTGCTTCAGAGTTCTGTCTTGCCTCTCACTCCAATGGTTTGCCTCCCCACCACCTCTTACCCCCATAGTTTACCTCCCCCCATGGTTTCTAGGCTCCTCCCACCTCTCACCCCCATGGTTTCTAGGCTCCCCCATCTCTCACCCCCATGGTTTCTAGACTTCCCTCTAATAAACCCCATTCTAAAGAGTGATTGATTCCATCCAGCCTACCACCCTCTTCCCTGTTTCTTTCTTGTTCTTTTTTTTTTTTTTTTTTTTTTGGCTTATAACAGTCCTCTCTTTTCAGTCTATTTAACTCAGAAAGGAAAAGAAAAGCAACTACCCAAGTTAACGTTGCCCTGGGGCAGCTGGGTGGCTGTGAGTTGAACCACTGGCTTGTAATGCAGCTGCCATTATGACCCTCACAGGCTCCAAGAAGATGAGGGATGAACTCACTGCACTGAACAACATGCTCAGTGTCTTGAGAACAAACAGACTTTTCTTTGGGGTTACTTCAAAACATCTTTTCTTTCTCTTATTCGGGGCTCAAGAAGCAAGAGCTAAACTCTAAAGGTTCAAGGAGAGCTCATGATCCAGCCACAAATGGCCCTAGCTGCCAGTGTGAGAAAAAGCTCTCCACATCTGCTTCCCTGAGTGGAGGACAAAGCTGTTCTGTCGACAGACCTGTTTCCAATTCTTTCATTTCAGATGACTTTTCAAATAGAAATCATCTATCTATCTACTTTCTGTCAGTCTATCATCTATCTTTTATCATCTATCAGATATTATTTATTGTCAATCATAATCTACAATCTATCTACCATCTACCAATTTACCTATTATCTACTTATTTATCATCTATATCTGTGGCTCTCAAGTTTCCTAATGTTGTGACCTTTTAATACAGTTCCTCACTTTGTGGTGACCCACAACCACAAAATTATTTTTGTTACTACTTCATAATTGTAATTTTGCTATAGTTATGTATTATAATATAAATATCTGATATGCAGGATATCTGATTTGTGACCCTTGTGAAAGGGTCATTCAACCCCAAAGGGGTCTCAACCCATAGGTTGAGAACCACTGATCTATATTTTATCATCTATCAATCATCTATCTATAATTTATCATGTCATTTATCACCTATCTCTATCTATCTATCTATCTATCTATCTATCTATCTATCTATCTATCTATCTATCTATCTATCTATCACCTCTTGTGGTGGAATAATCCTTCTGTACACTGTGAAAATGTGTTGCTCTCATTGTTAATAAATAGTTGATTAGCCAATAGCTAGGCAGGATTTTGGGGGCAGTGAGAACGCTGGAGTCTGAGGAGTCTTGAGCCAGATATGGAAGAAACAACATGGGAAGTTCGTAGATGAGGTAATCAAGTCTCAGGGCAGCACATAGATTAATAGAAATGAGTTAATTTAAGTTGTAAGAGTTGGCTGGAGACAAGCCTAAGCTATCAGCCAAGCGTTTATAATTAATATTAGGTCTCTTGCAGTTATTTGGAAGTGACTGCCAGGACAGAAAAACTCTGCCTACAATCTTCTGTCCTCAGTTTGTGCCATGCATCAAGTTACATACCTGATACAAATGTCACAATGCCAGTCTTCAAAGAACCTAGTGCTAGTGTGAATCTCAGGTAATGAATAAGTGTCTAATTACAATGTAAGGGACACAATGAGGAGAATGCAAGTAGAGACTGGATTAATAAGTGCAGGACCCAGGCATGGGCAGGAAGCTGTTCAGAGAAGCTATTCTCAGGAAGTCGCTGTTAATATTAATCATGGTGATGAGTGAGTTCCCTCCCTACTAGCCAGGCATAGTGTTACCGAGGAGTTAGGACAAAAAGAATGTCCAGCTGGGGAAAATGTATCCTTCTCTGTGATACTTTTACCAGGAAAACCTTTGAGCACATCATAAAAGGCTGTAACAGAGACATTAGTCTAAAATCATCCCATCTAGCTTTGCTTGCACATTCCTTTCTTGGACCCCTAATCATATACATCTCCATTGATCTGTATTGCTTCTCAGTTGTGTGTCTAGACCTTTCAGTATTTCTAGATGCCCAAATGGCATTGAGCACAACTTACAGAGAAGGTGCTCAGTGTGCCTCTCTCTGCAATCCCTTAACTCAAGGACAGCTAACAAACTATACTGACCTCAGGGAGCAGAATTCAAATTGAGGAAGTCCCCATGAGAGTTGGATGACTTGCCCAAGGGCTCACAGCTCCAAAGCCAGACTTGTTTAAGGTTTTTCCTTTAATACCCATGCAGTACAAGCCCAGACATGGACCTTCAAGGTAGTGGGCAGTAATACACCTGATGGCTCCTGAACTGGAGGCCTGTGGTGTTCATGTGCTTTCTGATCACTGGGTTACCTTTCTTACCTGAAGTCTTAGAACTGGTCACTCTTCCCTTCACTTCAATCCATTGCATGTGCACACATGCACACACACACACACACACACACACACACACACACACACACACACACACACACAGAGCTAGCTCTTTTCAGGTATCATGATAACTGTGAAGGAAGTGAAATGGCCATGATGGGGTGTGAGGCACTCTGACTGCTTTACACTAAATAGTCAGGGGACATCTCATCTGGAAAAGTGAGCTTTAATCTGAGTTATGATAATGCCAATCAAAGTAGAGAGCTAGAGGAAGAGCAGAGAGAACTACAGATGTAGGCGTGAGGGGACCATGAGATGGAAAGCAGAACTGGCTGTTTGGTTAAGAGAAAGGAAGCCAGTAGTAAAGGAGAAAGGGAGAGGAGCATGGTCCAGGTGGCATCAGAGCTTTGTGGACTACATAAAGACCCTCAGATTTCAGTCTGTGCCAACTGTCCAGGACAGCTTCCTCAACTGAACAAAGGCATCTTGTTTACAAGAATCCCATTCTAATCCTTTTGTGCATAATTAATTCAGTGTACTTATGTTCGGGAGTGTTCATATGTCTTCCCAGGCATTTCCCTCAGTGAGATGAGGAAGCTACAGCTTGCTGTCAGTGATCCCACAGATAGTGTGGGAGATGGACCCATACTGTAACACTGTAAATACTGTAGCGGTGTTTCAGACACAGCTTCAGACCTCTGTATTTCTGTTCTTGCAGTTATCCCCAGCACAATAGCTGTAAATCGGGACATTATTCAACACCTCTTATTACTTCTAGAGTCTTCCACATCACTATCTGCTACCATGGCAGACTACCTGGAGAGTCAACTTATAAAGAGGGTAGCTTTACTTTGGTTCTCAGGTTCAGCCTATTGTCCTGGGATGGGCATATGGCCCAATGACTTACTTCCTTCAGTGAAAGCCCACCTCCTAGACACCCCACCATCTCCCCACAGCATCATCAGCAAAGGGTCAAGCCTTCAACACAGTAGCCTCTGAGGGGACATTCCAGATTTAAGAGTAAATCTAACTCATGTCCCCAAATTCTCAGTCCACTCTCTTTGGGAGTATTCTCACTACCACAGAGCAACCTTCTCAGAACTCAAATGTCAGTAACTCACTCAAATATGTGTATTGTGGGTCTACAGTATCCCAGGCACCCTTGCAGGTTCTTGTGAGATACCAGTAAATAAACAACACTTGTCAGACTAAAATCCTACAATAGCTGCATATTGTCCCCAGGACATGGTATAAACACATCAGCTTGTACTGCAAACTTCCAAGGATAATAGTTTATACTATTAGTATAAAGGGAGCCTGAATATCACTTTTCACATTATAAATCAACCTCTCCAACGCTCCTTCAGCTCTTCCCTGCCTGAAGCCTTGACAAATGTAACTGCAAGGACCTGGCTCAGGTTCCCTAATGCAATCTCTTTTCTCTTCACCTCACACTGCAGGAGGCTGCATTCTCCATCACACAGGGACACTTCAGCCCTCATACCCAGCCTTCATCTACTCTCCCAGAAACAGTCACCTGTTGGTCAGCTCTTGGGTGTGTACAGTTCCTGAGGTTCACAGGCAGCTTGGTTCCAGATCCAAGGCCTAGTCTACAAAAAGACATTGTCTCCAAATGGACATTTTCTCTGGACTCTGGTAAACTCCCCTTCAATCATCTTCAGCTCAGCCTTCCAGCAGTCTTCATAATGGCAGAAACGTCAAGTGAGGGGGAAGTCTGGGATCTTACATACTCTTGACTTCTATAACCTCTTTGCTGAGTAAAGAGCTCTCTAAGAATCTTATGGACATAGGTGATAGGACTCACAGGTCACTGTTGTATTTCTGAGAGTCCCAGAAGCATTGTCTCAGAATGGTCCCAAAGTCCAGGATTGCAAATAGCTAATCTTAAAGTACGAGTGACTATGGATCTTTGTTGAAATTAATTCTATAAATCATCACACGAAAGCTAATACAGGACCAGCAAGATGGCCCAGCAGGTGAGAGTGCTTGCTGCCTAGTCCCTGGGACCCACATGGTAGAACTAGAGAACCAGCTCCTGCAAGGTGAGAGTGCTTGCTGCCGAGTCCCTGGGACCCACATGGTGGAAGGAGAGAACCAGCTCCTGCAAGTTGTTCTCTGATCTCCACACTTGTACTGTAGCATAGCAAAGAAACAAATATTAAAAACATAGCAAAGAAACTATACTCTCATCAGAATATGGTGCCCTAAAATCGCTTTGTTTACTCCTAATGCTTGGTACGGCAGCATTAAGTGGCATGACTTTAGAAGGTGCCAAGTCATGAGGATGGGAAACGGCCATCATAGATAAGACTAGAGGTCTTATCAATGGACTTGATGGGATAGGTTTGTTCCTCTTTGCTTTCCTGTGTGCGTGCATGCCTGTGTGTGTGTGGCAGCAATACACCATTCTGAGAGAGCTCGCCTTTGCCTGACATGGATCCTACCAGCTCTGGAATCTTAGACTCACCAGGAAGAGATTCCTGTTGTTTGTTAATCGTCTGCCCTCAGATCTTTGTTAAAGCAAAATGAACGAACCTGAACCGAAACTCAAAAGGCTTTCAAGGGAATTCTCTCAGTGTGAATGAAAAGATCCAGAAACAGTGCCGGGAGGCAAGGCTGGATCTCTGAACTCCTGTGAGCAGGAAGCACAGTGAGAGATGTGTTTGGCTGCAGACCTAGGCTGGAATGATTCAGAGGGGGAACCAAGAACCTGGAGAATGGACCGTTGAGTCCCAGTGCGTGATCAAACCCTAGTTAAAGTAGGTATATGATCCTGAGTGAGCTGAAGTGCTGTCAGCTGGTGAACACATGCCTTCTCAAGCATGCCTGCGTGCACGCCTTTCCTCTTCATCCCATTGCCGTCTCTGGCACATTTGGGGGAACACAGATAGAAAAAAATACTTTCAATTTATAGGCATCCAGGATTAGGGCAGCCATATCCAAGGAAATGGACCTGACAAGATTTAATGACTTCTGGATCAGTTTTGATGGTGAGATCCTAGACCCTGGGCCTTAAACCATAGTAAGTGAAGGCCTTTAGAAGGGAATTTGGTGTATATAGTATACTAAAGAATTGACGGTCCTAGAGATGGCTGTGGAAGTTCTAAAACATAGCCACACATTAGTTATCCCCCTATCAAGAAGTGAGGCATACATCTGCCTCCTCTTCTTGGACCTGGCAATATTTACATCTGCTTTGACTAACAAAACCTGGTGATCCCCAGGAGGCCAAGGGAAGTGATAGTGAAGCTGCCATGTATCTTACAGATAAATTAGCCCCCAGAGCTGAAGATAAAGAATTCTCTACCTGGCTGTTGTCCAGATTGTTGACCCACAAACAAATGGAAAATAAAGAAATGACTGTGGTATTAAGACACTAAGTTTTTGAAAATTTGTTACCCAGAAATACATTGCTTGATACCACTCAAAGCTGACCTTAAGAGTCCCCGGCTCTGTGTGTCTGTGGAACACTGTCCTCCCACACGGTGGAGTAATTATTTCCTAAGGATGAGGTGGTGCCCAGCATCAAGAACAAAGGCTCGCACAGCAGGTACCCCATTTGTTATCCTCTGTTTCCTGCTCCAACCCAAGAAGCTGCCCTGACTCACTGCACAGAGGCCAGGGCAGGGCCACTCACTTCCTGTGTGCTTGCTCCCAGCAGGCTAAGCCAGGCCTTTGGCTGCCACGGTGTGCTGTGGCCTGCCCTGTCTGCACACATTCATAGGAGGGGCATCCTCCAAAATAAGAAACAGGTCCAGGGTAGTCAGCTCCTCTAGAAATACACATGGATTTGAGACTAAAGTGGGTAATTACTATGCAGAAACATGTTTTGAGTTTTGCCTCTCCCAGAACCTTTGAAAAATAGAACATGATGTGGAGCCAAACCCACAGCACCCCTGGACTCGCTGGTCCCAAATAATCCCATCCAGACTCATTTACTTTCATGGCGTGGATTTCTGGTTTCAAGATTTTTTTTTTTCCAATTTGTAAAACAACTCCTTGAGAGAATTGTTCTCCTGGAGTGGTAGCCTTCCTGATACTCCCAGAGCTCCACAGTCACCCCAGAAATTGCAGGTGCTGACCCTCAATCTTCTTGTCTAAAAAATACATACTTGAAATGTATGATGAGTCTACATACTGAGAAACCCTGGGTAAGCCTGGCTTCAGTCCCAGCTCTGCCGCTAGTCAACTATGTGACTCTCAGCAAGGTGCTTAGTCTCTCTGAGTCCATTTCCACAAAAGCATGGAAGAATAACAGTGTCACATTCCGAGGTCATCGCTAGTACGGGATGAACTAATGAATGCTGGACATCCAGCCATGTTGTTTATGCTAGAACTTCCAGTGACTTTATGAGCCCTATCAGTTACTTATGAACCCCTTCTCCCGTTTCTCTTTGTGTGTGTGGGTGTGGTAGAGTGTGCATGTGTATGTGCGTGTGTGTGCCTCTGTGTGGAGGCAGAAGCCAGTGGCAAGCATCTTTCTCTCTCTGAGACAGGGTTGCTCACACACTCCAACCAGCGAGCTCCAGGAGCCTCCTGGCTACCTCTCCAGCACGAGGATTGCTGAAACAAGCCACCACCACTGGCTGTTTAGAATGTGGGTTCTGGAGACCGAATCAGGTTCTCACACTTGCGCAGCAGGCGCTTACCAGCTCAGCCATCTCCCTGGCCGCATTCGCTCTCTCAGTCGGAAGTTAACAGACTACACGGCATCTCCTGAACACTGATGACTCTGGGAAAACTTTGGACTTGTCACCGTTGCCCTGGAAACCCATCACCTTCTCACTTTAGACTCTAAAATTTAGAGTGAAGCACCAAACCAGAGTTTGGCATCAAATGTGAGGAGAAAAGGGGGAAACAGGCCCATTTTTCTTGAGCTCATGACCTACCCTGATTTCCTGAGCTCTCTGTCTGGACCAGTAGTTCTCAGCCTGTGGGTCACAACCCCGTTGGGGTGTCTAATGACCCTTTCACAGGTTTACATAAGACCACCAGCAAACACAGATTTTACATTACAATTCATAACAGTAGCAAATTTATAGTTCTGAAGCAGCAATGAAATTATTTTATGATTGAGGGTCAGCATAACATGAGGAACTGTGTTAAAAAGTCAGAGCATTAGGAAGGTTGAGAACCACTGCTCTAGACCCTGTCAGGTCCTGATGTCTAGTCACACTGGCCTTGTTTTCTGAATTGCAAGTAAGGACCCATGGTCTCACAAATACAAGAGTTCTTTGAGGGTGACATGACTCAAAATTTTAAATTGAGATTGCTCTAGAAAGAATGTAGTGACATATGGTGACCATGCCCAGAGTTCTCAAAGCCAAATGCTGCCTGGCTCCAAGAGGAGAAAACCAAAACAATCAGAAAACTCTTCCTTTGCCAAAACAAATCCCGTGTCTCTGGAAGTGTTATTCCTGTAGATATCTTCATTTAGATTGGGCCTAGTCGCTGTTTCCATTATACTGCATTTCTGAGATGAGGAAAAGCTAACACCCCATGTTCACTCTGGGTGGATTTTAGGAGTAGAGGAAGTCAAACAGTCTTTTTCTGTTTTGGGGTTCCTTTTCTATCTTATCCCCATGTAGAGAGTCTTCAGAACTGTAGCTTTCCCTTCTGGCTCTCACTGATTATTAATGCTATCAACAACAATAAAGGCTTCGTTGTCAACTTTAGGGATTTATAGGAACTTGCTTTTAAATATATTTACCTCTCACAATGGACTTAGTGGTAACTGTTACTGTCTTATAGTTACACCTACTACTTAGAGATGCTCAGTTCATGGACTTGGCAAGTGTTGGAGTGACTAGATACAGTTTCCGAGTCACACATCCTCAGCAGCCCCTGTTGTTTCCTCCCATAAATTGTCTTGGAGACATGAAATTTAGAGTCAGCTGACATACACAGATCAGCCACCTATTATAGTGAGTTTAAGTGTCTAATAAATGATCTCATCCAATCCTCACAGAAATAAGAATTTTTCTTAGAATTATCTAATTTTTAATTTGTGGGTGTAAGCACCAGTGTTGTTGTTGTTGCTGCTGCTGATGTTAAGGGTTGAAAATCCTTCCCTGGTCTCAGGAGATCTCCTGCTAGAATTCCTAACGGACTTGTGAGGAAATTCAAGTTTCAGGAGCAGAGAGCAAAGCAAACATGGGAGGTTAATAACATCCTCCGCAGAGTCCAGACACCAACTTCGGATGAGTATGTGTCAGACGCTGTGACAGCCACATGAGACAAACCACTGAGGGAAAGAGGTGGCTGTTCATGATGACACCCCGAGTTGGGCCAGGTCAGTGTGGCCATTCCTCATGAATCCATAAACTTATCACTGAAGTCAGCACTCTCATTACACAGGGACCTCTCACTAGAGCTTCCCCTGGGGACTGAGCCTTTGGTGAGGCATACAAAAAGAGCAGAAAGGGATGAGAAACTGAGGAAGGCCTCTTAGCTGTGGCTTCAGAACCATCAATTCTCAGCCCTGTGCGAGGCTCATCTCAGACATTTTCCATGACCTTCACTGTAGCCAAGGGCCTTGATTCCAGCAGGCATCAAGCCACTGCTTTGAGTTTTCTGGAGAAAGATGAAAACACAGGGCAGAATCAAAAGGCGGGGGGAAAAGTTAAAAGGTAAGCTTTAGAAAGGCTAAAATCAATTTCATCTCTGAGAAAAAGAACACCTATTCTTAAATGACTGCCGTGACTAAAACAGGAAAAATGTAAGAAACTAAAATATGAATTTATGGACATTTGGAGAGACAGCAGCGTGGTTAAGAGCACTTGCTGTAGTCATGGGCCAGAGCTCAGAACCCAGCACTCCTGTGACCTCAACTCCAATGTAGGCGGAGATGGGGGGACAATTAGAGATTGTTGGCTTCCAGACTGAGAAAATGGGAGTCCCCAAGTTCAGAGAGAGACACTTGCTCAAAGGATAAGCCAAGATAGAAGAGGACACTGGAACCTTCTTCTGCCTCCCTGTGTAGGAACCGTCATAGTGTGGGGGCCACAGAGGCTCCCTA